GCAAACTAGCCAATGAATTACTCTGCTGCTTTGTGATTAGCAGATATTTTATCGCCAAAAATCTTTGAAAATTTAATGCCATATTTTTTCTTAAATTCTACAATCAACCTTCAATATTCACAATTCCCTTCCATTTTTAGTTCATCATAATAGATCTTTCTTGTTTCATGATCAGCATATCATTAAGTGGCATGTGTCCACTGTGATACTGATGGATCACTTTTCCAGTGCACAATCGAGATCGTCCCTTATTTTATGCAGGGTTTTTCTATTTTCCATTAACTCCTGTTAGTCACTTGCAGAACAGAACTTCAACAGTCTATCCCTCTGTTTCTTCAGGTCCTATGTGGTGGTCATTCCAATACCGTACTTTTCTGTAAGATGTTTCACACTTACACCACTGCCTAGTGTCCCCAACAGTTTGACTTTCTGTGTTATAGATACACATAAATGCTTTATTTTTCTTAATGCTATTATCCACAGGGGTATCTGCAGACCTTTGTGACATTTTCTTTTTTCTTTTTCTTTTTTTTTTTTTTTTTTTGAGAACACTAGAAGCTGAATTCTTAGGAAACCCAGCAATTTAGGAGGCAGTGGGCTTCTGTTCAAGTCCTGCCTTTGTGCATTTTTTTTTTTTTTTTTTTTTGAGACAGAGTCTTGCCCTTTCACCCAGGCTGGAGTGCAGTGGCGCGATCTCGGTTCACTGCAACCTCGGCCTCCTGGGTTCAAGCGATTCTTGTGACTCAGCCTCCTGAGTAGCTGGGATTACAGGCACCTGCCACCACAGCAGACTCATTTTCATATTTTTAGTAGAGGGGTTTCGCCATGTTGCCCAGGCTGGTCTTGAACTCCTGAGCTCAAGTGATCCACTTGCCTTGGCCTCCCAAAGTGCTGGGATTACAGAAGTGAGCCACTGCACCCGGCCAATATTTTCAACAATATCATTAGACCAGAGAGCAGAGAATAAGCAAAAATACCACAGTGAGAAGTGCACAGGAGCAGGCCTTGGCTCCATATGGGGAATTGTGGGGACCTGTCATGGGTGTGTTTGACCAGCACACATGCCATTTTACCACCCTTTGTGTGTGTGCTTGCATGGGGGAATCTGGGTGTGCACAGAAAAGATATCTCTCAGCTGAAGGTGGCTAGGAGAGTCTTTTTCCCCTTGGGGATGCTGAATAAACAGTGTGTTATGTGCCTGTGTTTTGACTGCAACCCACCCCACGAGATCAGGTGTGGAATTTTCCACTTGTGGTGTAATGTCAGAGCTCAAAAAGTTTTGGATTTTGGACCGTTTTGGATTTTGGATTTGGAGATCAGTAGCCCTCAACCTGTATGGTATTATTCAGATGAATTTTTTTTTTTTTTTTTTTTTGAGACTGAGTCTCTTTCTATCGCCCAGGCTGGAGTGAAGTGGAGCGATCTCAGCTCACTGCAACCTCCACCTCCCAGATTCAAGCAATTCTTGTGCCTCAACCTCCCAAGTAACTGGGATTACAGGCGCATGCCACCACACCCTGCTAATTTTTGTATTTTTAGTAGAGATGGGGTTTCATCATGTTGGCCAGGCTGGTCTCGAACTCCTGACCTCAAGTGATCCTCCTGCCTCAGCCTCCCAAAGTGCTGGGATTACAGAAGTGAGCCACTGCACCCGGCCAATATTTTCAACACCTATCACAGCAGTTTGGGCTTATGTGTGCCTGTTACATTAGCACAACCCGGCACAGTTCTGTCTTTGGGTTCCTTAATTCCTGTTGGGACCATC